CTAACCGCTACACTACCGCTCCCCACTACACACAGACATACACACAGACACACACACTCACACACAGACACTACTCACACACACACATCTCTCCCCACACTCACACACAGACATACAGACACACTCACACACAGACATACACACACACTCACACACAGAGACATACACACACACTCACACACAGACATACACACACACTCACACACAGATCTCTACTCACACTCACACACAGACACACACACACAGATCTCCCCCGACTCACTCATACACATACACACACAGACACAATCACACATCTCTCTACTCACACTCACATACACACAGATATCTCCCTACTTACACACACATCTCTCCCTACTCACTCTCACACACAGACCCACTCACACATCTCTCTACACACACACACACACAGATATCTCCCTACTTACACACACATCTCTCCCTACTCACTCTCACACACAGACCCACTCACACATCTCTCTACTCACACACACACAGACACACACACACAGATCTCCCCCGACTCACACACACACACAGACACACTCACACATCTCTCTACTCTCACACACACACAGATATCTCCCTACTTACACACACACATCTCCCTACTCACACACACACACACTCACACATCTCTCTACTCACTCACACACACACAGATATCTCCCTACTTACACACACATCTCTCCCTACTCACTCTCACACATATCCCAACACACGCATGTAGAGAAAGGGAGCAGCAGGGGAACGAGAGACATGGCGAGAGAGAGGGTGGGGGGAGAGAGATCAAGAGATAGAAAGAAAGACCGAGAGAGAGAGAGATTGCGAGAGAGACAGAGAGAGGGAGTGAGATAGAGAGATGACGAGATAGAGAGATGATGAGACAGAGAGATGATGAGACAGAGAGATGATGAGACAGAGAGATGATGAGACAGAGAGATGATGAGACAGAGAGATGATGAGATAGAGAGAGGGAGTGAGATAGAGAGATGATGAGACAGAGAGATGATGAGACAGAGAGAGGGAGTGAGATAGAGAGATGACGAGATAGAGAGATGATGAGACAGAGAGATGATGAGACAGAGAGATGATGAGACAGAGAGATGATGAGACAGAGAGATGATGAGACAGAGAGATGATGAGACAGAGAGAGGGAGTGAGATAGAGAGATGATGAGATAGAGAGATGATGAGACAGAGAGAGGGAGTGAGATAGAGAGATGATGAGACAGAGAGATGATGAGACAGAGAGATGATGAGACAGAGAGATTATGAGACAGAGAGATGATGAGATAGAGAGATGATGAGACAGAGAGATGATGAGACAGAGAGATGATGAGATAGAGAGATGATGAGACAGAGAGATGATGAGACAGAGAGATGATGAGACAGAGAGATGATGAGACAGAGAGATGATGAGACAGAGAGAGGGAGTGAGATAGAGAGATGATGAGATAGAGAGATGATGAGACAGAGAGATGATGAGACAGAGAGAGGGAGTGAGATAGAGAGATGATGAGACAGAGAGATGATGAGACAGAGAGAGGAGTGAGATAGAGAGATGACGAGATAGAGAAATGATGAGACAGAGAGAGGGAGTGAGATAGAGAAATGATGAGATAGAGAGATGATGAGACAGAGAGATGATGAGACAGAGAGATGATGAGACAGAGAGATGATGAGACAGAGAGATGATGAGACAGAGAGATGATGAGACAGAGAGATGATGAGACAGAGAGATGATGAGACAGAGAGATGATGAGATAGAGAGATGATGAGACAGAGAGATGATGAGACAGAGAGAGGGAGTGAGATAGAGAGATGATGAGACAGAGAGATGATGAGACAGAGAGATGATGAGACAGAGAGAGGGAGTGAGATAGAGAGATGATGAGATAGAGAAATGATGAGACAGAGAGATGATGAGACAGAGAGATGATGAGACAGAGAGATGATGAGACAGAGAGATGATGAGACAGAGAGATGATGAGACAGAGAGAGGGAGTGAGATAGAGAGATGATGAGACAGAGAGATGATGAGACAGAGAGAGGGAGTGAGATAGAGAGATGATGAGATAGAGAGATGATGAGATAGAGAGATGATGAGATAGAGAGATGATGAGATAGAGAGATGATGAGACAGAGAGAGGGAGTGAGATAGAGAGATGATGAGACAGAGAGATGATGAGACAGAGAGAGGGAGTGAGATAGAGAGATGACGAGATAGAGAAATGATGAGACAGAGAGATGATGAGACAGAGAGATGATGAGACAGAGAGATGATGAGACAGAGAGATGATGAGACAGAGAGATGATGAGACAGAGAGATGATGAGACAGAGAGAGGGAGTCAGATAGAGAGATGACGAGATAGAGAAATGATGAGACAGAGAGATGATGAGACAGAGAGATGATGAGACAGAGAGATGATGAGACAGAGAGAGGGAGTGAGATAGAGAGATGATGAGATAGAGAGATGATGAGATAGAGAGATGATGAGACAGAGAGAGGGAGTGAGATAGAGAGATGATGAGATAGAGAGATGATGAGACAGAGAGAGGGAGTGAGATAGAGAGATGATGAGACAGAGAGATGATGAGACAGAGAGAGGGAGTGAGATAGAGAGATGAGGAGATAGAGAAATGATGAGATAGAGAGAGGGAGTGAGATAGAGAGATGATGAGATAGAGAGATGATGAGATAGAGAGAGGATGAGACAGAGAGAGGGAGTGAGATAGAGAGATGATGAAATAGAGAGATGATGAGATAGAGAGATGATGAGATAGAGAGAGGATGAGACAGAGAGAGGGAGTGAGATAGAGAGATGATGAGATAGAGAGATGATGAGAGAGAGAGAGGATGAGACAGAGAGAGGGAGTGAGATAGAGAGATGATGAGACAGAGAGATGATGAGACAGAGAGAGGGAGTGAGATAGAGAGATGACGAGATAGAGAAATGATGAGACAGAGAGATGATGAGACAGAGAGATGATGAGACAGAGAGAGGGAGTGAGATAGAGAGATGATGAGATAGAGAGATGATGAGACAGAGAGATGATGAGACAGAGAGAGGGAGTGAGATAGAGAGATGATGAGACAGAGAGATGATGAGACAGAGAGAGGGAGTGAGATAGAGAGATGACGAGATAGAGAAATGATGAGATAGAGAGAGGGAGTGAGATAGAGAGATGATGAGATAGAGAGATGATGAGATAGAGAGAGGATGAGACAGAGAGAGGGAGTGAGATAGAGAGATGATGAAATAGAGAGATGATGAGATAGAGAGATGATGAGATAGAGAGAGGATGAGACAGAGAGAGGGAGTGAGATAGGGAGATGATGAGATAGAGAGATGATGAGATAGAGAGATGATGAGACAGAGAGAGGGAGTGAGATAGAGAGATGATGAGACAGAGAGATGATGAGACAGAGAGAGGGAGTGAGATAGAGAGATGACGAGATAGAGAAATGATGAGACAGAGAGATGATGAGACAGAGAGAGGGAGTGAGATAGAGAGATGATGAGATAGAGAGATGATGAGACAGAGAGATGATGAGACAGAGAGATGATGAGACAGAGAGAGGGAGTGAGATAGAGAGATGATGAGACAGAGAGATGATGAGACAGAGAGAGGGAGTGAGATAGAGAGATGACGAGATAGAGAAATGATGAGATAGAGAGAGGGAGTGAGATAGAGAGATGATGAGATAGAGAGATGATGAGATAGAGAGAGGATGAGACAGAGAGAGGGAGTGAGATAGAGAGATGATGAAATAGAGAGATGATGAGATAGAGAGATGATGAGATAGAGAGAGGATGAGACAGAGAGAGGGAGTGAGATAGAGAGATGATGAGATAGAGAGATGATGAGATAGAGAGATGATGAGACAGAGAGAGGGAGTGAGATAGAGAGATGATGAGACAGAGAGATGATGAGACAGAGAGAGGGAGTGAGATAGAGAGATGACGAGATAGAGAAATGATGAGACAGAGAGATGATGAGACAGAGAGAGGGAGTGAGATAGAGAGATGATGAGATAGAGAGATGATGAGACAGAGAGATGATGAGACAGAGAGATGATGAGACAGAGAGAGGGAGTGAGATAGAGAGATGACGAGATAGAGAAATGATGAGACAGAGAGATGATGAGACAGAGAGATGATGAGACAGAGAGATGATGAGACAGAGAGAGGGAGTGAGATAGAGAGATGATGAGACAGAGAGATGATGAGACAGAGAGAGGGAGTGAGATAGAGAGATGATGAGACAGAGAGATGATGAGACAGAGAGAGGGAGTGAGATAGAGAGATGACGAGATAGAGAAATGATGAGACAGAGAGATGATGAGACAGAGAGATGATGAGACAGAGAGATGATGAGACAGAGAGATGATGAGACAGAGAGATGATGAGACAGAGAGAGGGAGTGAGATAGAGAGATGATGAGACAGAGAGATGATGAGATAGAGAGATGATGAGACAGAGAGATGATGAGACAGAGAGATGATGAGACAGAGAGATGATGAGACAGAGAGATGATGAGACAGAGAGATGATGAGACAGAGAGATGATGAGAAGATGAGATATAGAGATGATGAGATAGAGAGATGATGAGACAGAGAGATGATGAGATAGAGAGATGATGAGACAGAGAGATGATGAGATAGAGAGATGATGAGACAGAGAGATGATGAGATAGAGAGATGATGAGACAGAGAGATGATGAGATAGAGAGATGATGAGACAGAGAGAGGGAGTGAGATAGAGAGGGAGAGAGGCGGGGTTCGGACATCGAGTTGAGGGCGCGGAGAGAGAGGGGACGGGGTGGTGGGTGGTGGTGGGGGGTTGGTGGAGGGACGGGGTGGGGGTGGTGGGGGGGTGGTGGGGGGACGGGGTTGGTGGTGGTGGGGGGGTGTCTGCAGTGCAGCAGGGAGGGAGGGGGGGCGAGCGAGCGAGGTGGTCTCAGTGAGCGTCGCCTCTTCATCCTCAGCAGCACCGCCACCATTCGGCTGAGTCGAATTCCTCTCACCTCGCAACGCTCCACCACCACCACCATCGCCACGTGGAGTGAGGCAGTGGACGAGGAGGCAGTGAAGGATGAGAAAGGAGTGAAGGAAGGAGTGAAGGAAGGAAGGACAAGAAGAAGCAGATCTACAGAGAAGAAGGAGGCGGAGGAGAGTTGCCCATCGACCACCCACTCGCGTGTCGCAGGAAGCGTCTTGGCCGCGTCTCTCTCCCCTCCCGTCGGCGTCCCTCGGCTCGGACTGCTCCTCGTGCCTCTGCGCTCGCCCGCAGCTCACTCGGCGTGAGATGCTGAACGACCACCACGGAACGAGGCCCTGACAGTCGCGCCACGTGTGATTGCTGAATTACTTTGAACGTAATCGTGGGGAGTGATTCTTCCATTGCACGTGAGTAGAGTCTCTCTGTCTCTCTGTGTGTGTGTGTTCGTTGTGCTTGCGTAGCAGCCGTAGCAGCAGCGTCGTCAGATCATCGTTGTTGTTGTTGTTTTAAAATTGATGAGAGCGATGGGACGAGCGGTGGCGCACCGCTTAGCGCGCTGCTCCGATGCAGAGGGCGGCTGAGCGAGTTGTCGGATTCTCAGCTTGCCAACAAACGACCCTCATTCGCCAGCCCGCCATTGACCAGCATTGGGGAAGTATGACTCAAAGTGTGGACTGTGTTCTTATTTGACCAGCTAAGGTCCCGCAAACTTGCTGCGTAGCGCAACTTATTTTTTTTCAGAAGTGACCCCATCGCCATCGCAAATGAGAGCTCAGCGAAGGGGTTCATCGTCATCGTCAGCATCATCATCGTGTCGTGGACATTCATAGCAGATAAATACTCCAAATGCGTTGTTTCTACAGACTCATAGAGACCCACAGATACTCATAGAGACCCATACTCACATAGACCGATAGAGACCCACAGAGACCCATACTCATAGAGACTCATACTCATCCAGACCCATAGACCCACAGAGACCCATACTCATCCAGACCCATAGACCCCCAGAGACCCATACTCATCTAGATCCATAGACCCACAGAGACCCATACTCATCCAGACCCATAGACCCCCAGAGACCCATACTCATCCAGACCCATAGACCCACAGAGACCCATACTCATCCAGACCCATAGACCACCAGAGACCCATACTCATCCAGACCCATAGACCCACAGAGACCCATACTCATCCAGACCCATAGACCCACAAAGACCCATACTCACAGAGACCCATAGACCCACAGATACTCATAGAGACCCACAGAGACCCATAGACCCACAGAGACCCCCAGAGACTCAAACTCAAACTAAACTATGTTAGTGTTACCAGGTAAGGACCCACTGAGCTATGTAGCGCTCTGTCAGAAGCGACCTGCACATCAGAATTGACAGCTCAACCAAGTGGCTCATCGTCATCATCATCATCATCACGTGGAAAATGTATATCAGTAGTCAAATACTCTAAACGCGTCGTGACGTTCATTGTAAACGTGGACGGGGAAAAAACGGAGGACCCGGAGAAAAATCCACGCCACCATCACGGGGAGAGAGAGAGACAGAGAGAGAGACGCAGACTCCAAATATACAGCAGCAGGCATCGTCATGGTCTGGATCGAACCCACGACCTCCTGCATACCGGGCGAGGTAGTTAACATCTCCTAGCCACCAAGCAACCCGCGCGTGACCGACTGGGAGTGGGGGAGGGCTTCATCCAGCAGTGGATCGACCACAGTCTGCACGCAGCCGTGATAACATCGACTAAAAGCTGAACATGACATTTAGATAATGTTCACCAAGATTGGGCATTCGCTGTAAATATACCTGCCGCTATGATTTAATATAATCCCGTGATATCGTATGTATATATATATATACACACACTTTAATAATCGCGGAGTGAACTTTACAATTCTGCGTACGACGAATTCGCCTTTCGGGGCTTTACCGATCCACGGCTGGTCGATGGCCTGGTCAGCTGAGCTCTCTCCGAGAGGGTCGTTTAACCATACTTCACCACCCTGGTCACGGTGACAGTGTCGAGGTGGCCGCGTCGCGTGGAGAGGGGCCGGTGGGCATCGAAATCTGAACATCAGATTGTCAATGTCCGTGGCCTGGCTCTCCAACACACAGCCGGTGTTGCTGTACTCGTAGCGAATTGGCCACGTTCTAGAGATAGGTTTTTACCCTTTCAACTGGTACAACAACTGACACCTTTATACAAGGGATCATGTTTGCAATAACCGCAACACAAGCAGTCAAAATGCAAACAAAAAGAAACACCTCTGATAATGATAATTTGATAATAGCTGTTTCTTTTTGTTTGCATTTTGACTGCTTGTGTTGTGGTTATTGCAAACATGATGCCTTGTATAAAGGTGTCAGTTTTTGTACCAGTTGAAAGGGTTGAAACCCAATCACTATATGTTGCCACTGGTAAAGAAGATGTCTCATAGTGTAAATGGCCACGTTCTGTTAACGGGACGCAACTTTAGTAATTGGCTGTTTCGGGTGGTGGCGGGTTTAACGACACTTTTATATATTTACGCGATCTCACCCCAAACACAACCGTATAATGAATGATATTGGTCGCGAAAGCCTCCTCCGTGTGAAAGCGAACATTGTATTTTATTCTGGGGGAATCCGATGAGCGACAACGCTCTTTTTCGCACATGTCACTAGGTTACAAAAACAAAACACAAAACACGATAGGAGCGCAAAGTATAGGAAAGGTAAATAAATCACTAAGAAAAAAATACGAAAAAAACTAAAATGTGTTTTTATTTGACCGGGCAAGGTTCGTTCCACTGAGCGACGTTATTATTTTTCAGAGGCGTCCATGGCAATCACGAATGATAACCCAGCTTAGGTGGCTTATCACCACCATCACCACCATCATCATGTGCAAATGTGTAGCAGCCAAATAACTCTAAACGCGTGATGTCGAGTCTACATGTGGAGGGAAAACACCCGAAGATCCCGAGACAAAATCCACGCGACCACGGAGAGAGAGACAGAGAGAGAGACGCAGACTCTAAAGATACCTGGGGTGATGTGTAAACACCGTCACTAGGGAGACAAAGGCGGCCGGGCGTGGTTCTGGCCACCCACCCCCCTCGTGTGCCGTGCCGGCCTTCATAGGTGCTCGCTAACAGCACTTGCCCCCCTACAGTATGTTAAGGCTATATGGGGGATCTTTGTCTTTGTGTGTGCGGAATTGTGGCGTAGCGGGTAGCGATCAGGGTCGAGATCGAACTCACGACCTCCTGTATACCAGGCGAGGTAGTCAACATCTCCTAGCCGCCGCGATCTCAACGAAACATCGGTGATGAATCAGGTGTGCGGTTGTTTTTCCAGATGCACACAAACATAAATTGTATAGACACAGATCCCCCGTATAGCCCGTAACAGACTGTTGGGGCAAGTGCTGTTAGTAGCGAGTAGCAGCAGCGCCTATGAAGGCTACCGGCGGCACTGTGGCACACGAGGGGGTGGGTGGGTGGTCAGCGCCACGCCCGGCCGCCTTTGTTTCGCCAGTGGCGATATTTACACATCGCACCAGGTACTCGTTTCAGGTTGAGTCGACCTAGGGGAGGCCCGGGATCGGTTCAGATAATCGTCGCCGGTTGGGCCGTGAGCGGGAATCGAACCCGGGTCGCCACGTTCAATGCGCAGCGTGCTAACCGCTACACTACCGCTCCCCCACACACACACAGACACACTCACACAGACACACACACACGCAGACACACACACACGCAGACACACACACACGCAGACACACACACACACACAGACACACACAGACACACTCACACAGACACACACACACGCAGACACACACACACGCAGACACACACACAGACACACACGCAGACACACACACACGCAGACACACACACACGCAGACACACACACACACACGCAGACACACACACACAGACACACACAGACACACTCACACAGACACACACACACGCAGACACACACACACGCAGACACACACACAGACACACACACGCAGACACACACACACGCAGACACACACACGCAGACACACACACACAGACACACACAGACACACTCACACAGACACACACACACGCAGACACACACACACGCAGACACACACACAGACACACACACGCAGACACACCCACACACAAAGACACACACACACACGCAGACACACACACAGACACACACACACAGACACAGACACGCAGACACACACATATATATACAAATACGCATATATACACATGCACACACCCATACATCCGAAGAGAAAAATACAAACATATACATACAGACACACACACACAGATAAAGATCCCCCGTGTAGCCTAAACAGACTGTTGGGGCAAGTGCTGTTGGCGAGTAGCAGCACCTATGAAGGCCGGCACGGCACACGAGGGGCTGGGTGGCCAGCACCACGCCCGGCCGCCTTTGTCTCCCTCGTGGCGATGTTTACTACAAACCGCACCGGGGACTCGTTTGAGGCTGAGTCGACCTAGGAGAGGCCCAGAACCGGTAAAATATTCGCCACTGTTATATATATATATACAAATATCATACAAAAATCCATGTAACAGACTGTTGGGGCAAGTGCTGTTAGCGAGCACCTAATGAAGGCCGGCACGGCACACGAGTGGGTGGGTGGCCAGCACCACGCCCGGCCGCCTTTGTCTCCCTAGTTGCGATGTCCTTCCCACTGTGGGGTGGGAAGGACAACAAACTAAACACAACAACAACAACAAACTGAACACAACAACAACAACAAACTAAACACAACAACAACAAACTAAACACAACAACAACAAACTAAACACAACAACAACAAACTAAACACAACAACAACAAACTAAACACAACAACAACAACAAATTAAACACAACAGCAGCAGCAGGCAGTTGTAGAGACATTAGTTCGTCAATGTCGATGTTGATGATGATGGCTGCGATGACGATGATGATGACGACGGAGATGACGATGATGACGATGATGACGATGATGATGACGACGACGATGATGACGATGATGACGATGATGACGACGACGATGACGACGATGATGACGATGATGATGACGACGATGATGACGACGATGACGATGATGACGACGACGATGATGACGATGATGATGACGACGACGATGATGACGATGATGACGATGATGACGACGACGATGACGACGATGATGACGATGATGACGACGACGATGATGACGACGATGACGACGATGATGACGACGATGATGACGACGATGATGACGACGATGATGACGATGATGATGACGATGACGATGATGACGATGATGATGACGACGATGATGACGACGATGACGACGATGATGACGACGATGATGATGATGACGACGATGATGATGATGACGACGGCGATGAT